CCCCCCCCAGTCCTGCCCTGTCCCCCAGCCCTGCCCGGGGCTCGGGAGGTGCCCCCGCACCTGTGCGCCAGATCTGAGGAGGTCTAAAGAAAACACCAGCACGCGATGAAAGCCTTGCCCTGAGCTGGCACACTCAAACAGGTTCTGGCTTTTTTTCCCTGGTATCTGAAATCCTCAGAAAGCGCCTCGTGCACTAAGCAGTGCAAGGGAGGGAATGATGCCCGTGCACGTCCCTCTGGATCTGCTGCCCCATCCCCGTGCAGCCCATCCCTGCAGTCACACCCGTGTCCCCAGGACACCAGCAGACTCTTAAATGCTGCTTAAACCCACGTTAGTTCCTGGTTCCCTCTGACCTGCCTGAAAAGCTGGGCAGGCAAGAGCTTTGTTTAAATACATGGGGTCTACAGGTGTCTGAAAGGAATACTGATATTTGTCCAAAAACTGTGTAATGATCATGAAGAAAGGCCGGGCAGTGCAGCATCACTGCCAGAAAGTGACTCCACTGAAATTGACATTCTGTAGGCAGCGTGGGGAATGGGTTTATAATTCAGCTGACAAGAAGAATTGCATTTTGCTGGAGCAACTCTAGGGTTCCCTTCCCCTCTTTGCAGGTGGCCTAACAGATTAGAAATGGAATCCAGGCCTGCTGTCTCCCGAGCTGGAAAGAAGGGGCACATCTACTCAAATAAGGCTTTGAAATGCGGATTTTATGCATTTTGGTTTTCGTGCTAAAAGAGCTGTAAGATTTAAGCAGGATATAGGATGAATCTGGACAGACAGTTAATAATGTATTTTAAAATTCTCTCTCCTCCTTAGGGGAGAAAACCAATATTTTTTTAAATTTACATTTGCTGTGCCACAGGCTGTGCTGAGGCAGAAAACCCTTATTTTGATTTTCAGATGTGAAGCAACTGTACCTTTAACTGAGTGAAATGGGCTTGACAGCTTCAGGCATGCAGAGCTATTCAGAGGGTAGCTGAGGCAGTGTGGATGTGCGGGTCTGAGGTGGGGTTTCCATTACCTTAGTAACGTGCTTTCTTGGTTCTGCTCTCAAGTCTGTCTCTTCCAATTAGGATGCTCATTGTGGGCACACCAGTCAGCTGCAAGGCTGGCAGTGACAAGGCTGGACCTGGCTGCCAGGTTCTCACACCAGGCAATCTTACTGACCACGTTTGGTCTCTAATCTCTGCATACCAAACTCCCTTACCTGCCCTATAATCTTCAGGGATAAACTTTGGGAGACCAGTTCTGGGACCTGCTGGTGGAAAGGTGCCTGTTTGTGCAGAGCTCTGCACGGGTGCCCAAACTCCACAGCAGGGTCCAAGCAGGGAGTTTGGGAGAACCTCTTTTGGCTCAGCAGTCACCAGCTCTCCTCTTGTCCCCACCTATTAATTTATCTTTGGTAGCACAGGCTGTTCCCCACTGCAGCTCTGCTGGCAGACAAAGGCCAGCTGGCAGTGCTGAATCGATCTGGATTACCTGTGACAGCACTGACAGTGCTGACAGCCACCACCAGGCAGGGAAGGAGCTGCCTGCAAAGCCAGAAACACCACAGACCCAGAGCTGTATCCTGGCCACCAGGGCAGAGGGAAATCCTGGCTCTGTCCCTCCTTTCCCTGCTGCCCTCAAGCTCTCATGGTCTGAGTGGTTTGACTCTGCTGTGGTTTACCAAAGGCTACAGCTGAACTTAACTGCTCTTAAAAATGCCATTTTGCAAAGGCATTTACAGAAGCATCAGAAAAGCTGGATGACCTTTCAGACTGCTTGTGGTGTTTATTTCAAGGCAGGCAAAAGAGCAGTAAATACTGAGCCAGGAGAACTCCTCTCTGAAAGCCCTATTAAATAGAAGTTTTTCAAGATAAAACCCGTTGCCAGCTGAAAGAATTACAGTAGAGAAATAAAACCAGAACTGTCAGTAGCAGTGATAGCTGTGGGGCTGCTCTCGGGGAAGTATTTTGTCTCTATGTACACGTTTACAGGAACCTCCTGCTTAGTTGCCCCTTTTCCTCCTCCCCTCCACACAGGAACAACTTCCAAAAAGTCCCCCACACTCCAACAGATGCAATTCATTAATCAAATGCTCGCGAGGGGGACTGAGCTTTGTAAACTGCCCCCTGCCCCCCACTAACCTGCCTGTGGCAGCCGTGCAGAGATGGGCTGTGTTACACCAAGGAGCCAATGGACCCTGCTGGGAACCCACCCACCCAAGCCCAGCACCACCCAGTGTGGGCAGGATGCTGCCATTCCTCACCAGGCCACTCACCCTCTCACTCCCATGGCATTTTTCTTGCCCCCACCCACGTGTCCATGATGTGCAAGTCTTTCCTCAGAGCAGTGAGACACTGCACAGCATTAACAACCTGTTCTCCACACGAGGTGACTCTCAGTCAGGACCCTGCATGTTTTCATCATTCCCAAGGCTGAGCTGGCAGCTTTGTGCCTCCCTGGCTTGGCAGCAGAGTGGGCAGCTCTCCTGCCTACCAGGTGTGCTGACACAGGCCCTCCTGCCTGCTGGATGAGACGTTGCCCTGTGACACTGGTGAAGGTGCTCCCAGAGCCTGGACCAGCCCAAAACCTCACACCCAACACCAGAAATCCATGAGCTCATTTGAGCTTCTCCCTGACTTTGATAACATTATCCACAACAGATATTCCTGTTGTATCCAGGGTCAAGAGGGTCTACCTGAGCAAGAACTAACTTAAGGAGATGCTGTTTGTTCTGGGAAAGCCTTTACCATTAACCCATGCATGACTTTACAGCCTGTCTCTCCTCTCTTTCAGTACATCGGCAGCTTGGACGTACCCAGGCCCAACAGCCGCGTGGAGATCGTGGCAGCCATGAGGAGGATCCGGGTAAGTGCTGAAAGAGCTCTATAACCCCACGTGGAATAAAAGCTGACATGCACTGGAGTGACTTGGTTGCAGTATGCTGTTCTGCATTCCCCCACACCCTTCCTATCTGGAGCTCAAATCTCAGCACAGTCAGGACTGTAACCTGCCTCTCCAGGAATTCTCAAGGCACATTAGGATGGACCCATCCCCTGCTCCTGGCAAAGGGATCAGTTAGCAGAACTCAAACATAAAACCCTAGTTGCTGCCGAGCAGGTGTGGGGATTCTCCTTGAACCCAAGAGATTTATTTTGCCTGTTGGGGGGATTTTTGTGTGAAAAATGAGATGGACATAATCTGCTCCTCAAAAGCACTCAAATTCCTTGACAGTTCAAAATATATTATGTTATTACGTACTGAAATATCAGTGGCCTGGCAGATGTTATGGATGTAAATCCCATCAGACTAGACTTTGTGGATTCTTCTGCTCATGGAATAACTTGCTGCTTCCCCCCATCCTCCAGTACAGTTTTACAGTTCCTGTTTCTCATCATCACATCTGCATTCTTCCTCCTATAGCCCCTTTCTTCTTCAGAACAGCCTGTGAATGGTGACCAGATTTAGCTATGATTAGAGGGGTGGGTAGCTTACATCTGCTGCATGGATAACCAGTTCAAGTGGATCTACCCCAAAAGGCAGTGCAGCTGTTGTGCCTGGCTGAAGTTTTGCAGGGGTCTTAATTTGGCGGCTGTTCATGTGTCTCACATCAGCTGAAGCAGGTTTGAGAATCTTCTATTTAAAGCTTTGAAGGGATTATCCTATTTCTCTCCTCCCCCCAGTGTTTAACCATCTAATTTTCATTTTAAATAGTGCTTTTTAAACTTAGCCTGTAACTGGCTGGGGAGCTAATGTATTCATCTCCAGCCAGGCTCAGAAATGCCTTTCCCCTGCCTTTGCCTGCTCAGACTATTAGCAGAGCTCTTGCTCAGAGCACAGTGCAGTCTAAATTGCCTGGTTATTTATGGAACAGGTGAACATCTATAGGAAGCAAAGGCAAGAGGTGAGGACTGCTGGGGCACTCGAGTTGCTGGCATAACTATTGGTTATTTTTTATCTGAATCAATATTAAACATCAGATTTGACACTGCACTTCTGCTGATCTTTGACTGGATAACACCTTTGCAAGAAAAAGAACGTGGTATTTAAATACTAGTGTCTAGAAAGCTTTCTGTTCTGTTTGCACACCTGCAGTTGCCACCATGGTGTCTAGCTCAGAGCCTTGGCAGGGCAGGAACATGCCTGAGTGCTGTGTGAAGCATGTAAGAAACCACCCTGCTTTTCTGGATGCCACCAGTTAATCTTATCACACAATATTTTTAAAGTCAGCATCCTGTATTCTATACTGTTTTTTTTTAAATCTTGGGAGCCCTTTCCAAAAAGGGAGGGCTTCCCTTTTTCTGTGTGCATTGTACAGCAGGATCTCATTCAGAGACTTCCTGGCTGCTGAGCGGAAGATGCTCCTCTATTGAAGATAGTTAATTGGCACTGATCCTTAATTAGAGCATAAAGAGTGAACTGGGAGGTCTTTGAAGAGAATTCTAGTGCATAGAGTACACAACCTAGGAACTGAGAGAAGATGGGGGTTGTTTATGTAGTGTTCATTTGCATGCAGAGGCCTTGTCTATACCAGGGTTTTTTCCCATGAACTCTCAACAGCACCAGTTGCAACTGGGAAGAAACACTGGAAGAAGCTATTGGTGGAAACTAGTATTTTGCTACCATCTTATTGTGAGTGGTAGTGCCTGTTTGCACTGCAAGAGCAAGAAAGGTCCTGCAGCCCTGCCAAGTGCTGGCAGGGGCACATTGTGCTGACGCTTTCATCCTTTGTGCACTCCAGTGTTCCACTGGAATTCTCTGCTGGAGTGGAAGAGAAAAGTCACTCAGGACAAGCCCCAGCACCACCTTTCCTGTGCTGTTCCCTGTGTCCTGCCACATGGAAGGGGGCAGCAAGAGCCACTGCTGGAGCAGCAGGTGACAAAGCCAGCAGAGCACAGGCAGAGTGTTACTCACTGCTCTGCCACTCCAGAAGGGGACCAGGGAGGAGGATGAGGAGTCCCAGCCCTGTATTTTTCCAGGCCCTGACAGGACTGGTTACTCTAGTTACTCATTGATACAAGCTCTAAAACTGCCTTCCTGCTGCTGTGTTGTATTCTGGTCTCCAGTCTGTGATTAAAAGCACTTACCCCAGGGTAAAAACCTTGAGCCACCCAGCACTCAAAGTTGTCCTTGGAATGTAGGGAGAGAGAAAGAAATGTAGCAACCCCAGTGGCTAAATCTATTCCTTGGCATCTTACTGTCCTGTGTTTTCTACTGGGCTCTTTTGCCAGTTGCATATGAATTATGCCAGGACACCTGGGAAGAGGTCAGGGGTGTTCTGCAGGCACTGGCAGTCTGCTTGCAGACTTCAGGACACAGCACACAGGCTGTGGGGACAGAACTCCCAGAGAGCCTCAAATGACACATTTAAGCATTAGTCTGCTGAAATTACAACCTGCTCTTTTGCAATAGGTATTTAAGAGGCACTCTCATAGTAAAGCTTAAATCCATATCCCTGACTGAATGGATGCTGGTGGAATTGCTGGCAATACTCCATTAGTCACACATTAGATTCCCATTTCATAACAGACTGGAAAACCTTGTCTCATCATGTTCTGAGCTTCCACTGGAGGGAATGCAAATGCACTAGATAGAACAGGGAAGCTGCTGTTCTTAGCTTCCCATTATGCAGAGCTAGACAACTTTAAGTTTGCTAATCCTCCCAGTGGATTATTAGCTGCATACAGCTGCCATGTTATTATATGATTGTCAGAGTTCAAACTAATCCCTCTACCTCCTCTTGCCCTGGCAGAGGAGGTGGTGAAATTAGTTTGCCACTTGAATAATACCCTGTTCTCTGACAGGCACATCAAGCTGCTGTTTATGAGAGTCCCCTTCATTGTGCAGCTCCAAACAACCAGTGCAGGCAGGTGTTCTCCACCTCCTGGGGAGAAGTGTCACACCACATCTGCTGTCACCTGCTGCTCAAGCCCATCCCAGTCTGGGTGTCTGGCAGTGCCTGCTCAAGCTCATGCATTCCCAGGCAGGTCTGGTGGAGCTGGCTTTCTGCTGAAGTGGATCCATCTGCAGGTATTTGAGCTCTCTAGGGAGCTTATGTATAAGACAGGATTTTTCTTCTGCTGAAGTCAAGTGGCAGCTAATGTTAAGAAAGTGAAAATCCTTCTCAAGGGCCCACATAGCTCCCAGATTCAGCAGGTCACCCTTTCCCTAGACACACCACTCCTGGCTGCCAGTAGCAAACAACTAAAGAGCTAAATTCTCCCCTTAGCTTCAGTGAGAGTCTTCACCTGGATAAGAGGGAAGATGTCGAGTTCACTTGACACTGCAACAGTAACAGGAGAACTTTGCTGAAGATGCTTATGGGTACAGGCCTAAGGGTAATGGGAACTTTTGTAAAACAAAACAATTCCTTGAAGCACTTGAAGTTGCTTGGCAAATCTTGCCCTGGGAGACCAGGGAACAGCTGGCTTTATGAGAAGGGTTAACATCACAACGTGTCCTGCATCCATTCCCCAGCTTCCCCAGAGCAGAGCAGCTGTCACCTTCCCAGCACACCACCCTCAGTCCAGCACCTCACAGCCAGGCAAGCAGCTCCAGTGAAATGCTGCTGTTTTGAGTGGTGAGTTGTACAAGGACATGGTAGGACTAAATGTCAAAGCCTGTCATCCCCACAGACACCCTCCTGCCAGCAATTCCCCAAGTCACTCCATTTAATTACCTTTCAGGCACAGAATCAGTTTCCCTGGAATTTGCACTTAAGATTCTACGAAGCCTAGAACTTTCAGGTCTGTTTGGAAGGTCTGGCTTGGACCTAAGCAGGTATTAGGACTCAGAAGGGAGCCAGATGTTGGATTATTTAGTCATTTCCTAAGGGAACAGCCAACTGGTGCTGTGCCCATCCAAGCACCAGGATGAACAAACAGGAGGCAGGCATCCAGACTCATGTGTTTCTTTTGTTACCTCCACATTTCTTAGGCTTAATTTGAGAAGCCCTTTTTCCCCAGAGGCCAGAGAAGCAGAAATGTTTATAAACCTTGATGAAGGATACATCAGAAAGACCTGAGTCCTCCTTGGCATGAGAACCAGTTTCTCACTTCAGCCTCCCCCTTGTCCTGATTGTTCTTGCTCCATCCATGCTCTTTAGCAGAGTCTAACATTTTGCCACTTCTCCACATAGTGTCCTGGTGAGGAAGTGCAATCCAGCCACTAAGTTATGTTCACTGCCAGGTATCAACTGGTAGTGTTGAAGTGAGACATGACACCAGTTTAAATCAGAATCAGTAAGAGTGACAGTCCTACAGTGCAACCCTGCAAAGCAGAGGCAGCAGGGACAGCTGCACAGAACCTTCCCCTCCTGCAGCCC